AAGAACGGGGATGACCTTTCGATCATTTCCCACAGACGACGCCAATTGTTGTTGCGCGATCTAACTACTCCTAGTTGGAGGGCGATCTAGCTTCCAATCGAGTAGTGATCTAGATCTATCTACAAGACAGTGGATCAGAGAATCTAGGTAGCTAACCCGACGAGGTCGCTCCAATGCTTAAGTTAGTATGCTGTAAACGTGAGCTGAGTGCTAGAGAGTAGAGTAATCATGCATACCTTTGCCTTGAGGTTCTCGTCTTTATATACTAAACTAGTCGTGGGTCTCACGAAAGAGTTCCGGGATCTCCGGGGTGTGGAGATATGGTTCGTTCCGCTTCCGAAGGAGCACTACGTAGATAAGGCTTATTGTTTCACTTCCGATTCTAGTGGAGCCGAGATAAGTCCTTATCGTGATCTCGAAAAAATTGGGATCTGTTAGCTCACCGTGATCTCGAGAAATTTGGGATCCGTTGGAGAGACCTCTGGAGTCGGTTACGTGGTGATTCGAGTTGTTAGCCCCGAGTTGATGCTTCGATTCTTTAGTTCCGAACTGGATTTGATGCCGAGGTGCCCCGACGCCGAGGTAAGTTTTGAGCCGAGGTGGCTGAATACGCAAGATCAAACGTTGCAAACTAGGCTTGCCAAGCTGAGCTATCATCCCTTAATCAATTTGAGCCGAGGTCGCTGAATACCCAAGCTCAAACGTTGCGAACTAGGCTTGCTAAGCTGAGCCATCATCCCTTAATCAGGTCGTGTCCACATGTCCCCTTCTCGCTAGGTCGGGCCAAATCACCCTTCATCAAACTTCTCTTAGAATCAAATTGCAACAACAATTGAATGAGTTTGTAACAGTTTATAGCAATTGTATAATCAGTTTATAAGAGCTGAGTAACAATTAATACGTGCCGAATACAGATTCTGAAGCAATACATGCAAATACACGGTAAATACAATAAAATTTTACCACGACTGTTGATTTCCTATTGTGCCACATGCAAGTATTAGCAAAAAAAACAATACATATTGATACGCTGAACTTTTGGGTTAACATTGGATTGGATTGTTGTAGGATCAAATTGTTAATAACTAATCCAATCCAACAAATAATGATTTATCTATAGTGGTCCAATTCAATCTGATAAGCATAATGGATTATCATAATCCAATTTAATTGGATGGGATCCAATCCACTGGCTGCCCTTATTGGCATACCACCATGTATTAAAGGGGTATTAACCAATGTAAATAGTTTTGCTTAACTCTGAGACTATGGTTGCATTTGGTTGTAGTATAAATTCCATTTGCATTGGTGTAAACGCATAGAAATACAAAATGGTTGAGAGTAAATTCTAATTTACTTTTGCTTTATATTTGATTTCTCTTATTTGTATGTGATAAGTAAAATGAAGTGGCATTCACTTTAGGTGAAAGAGAATGGAGGAAGGAGGGTTATTTGTCTAGGCGTAAGGTAGGATGCAAGATAATACAAGTAGATTGAAATCAATGCAATGATAAATCCTTATATTGTCTTGTCTTAGATTAAAATAGAAACTATTTTCATAGAAGCATTGCATTCCAATCAAAAAACTAAAATTTCTGCAATGATAAATCTGATAGAACATCTGATAATTGCAGCTCGTCAAACCACTTAAAATCTTACGGTATGAACCGTCATAAAAAATATATATAATATATATATATATATATATATACTTATTCATCCTTGCAATTACCCTTCCATCTAACAGAGGTAACCGAAATGATGAAGTAACCCACCATCTCCTACCTAAAGAGCCGTTTTGGTCGGACTCCTAAGATCTTAGAAGCTGCTATGGATGAGGGTAAATAACCGTTTTGGTGTGACTCTTCAGATCTCAAAAGCTGCTGTGGATGAGGGTAAATAGCCGTTTTGGTGTGACTCTTCAGATCTCAAAAGCTGCTGTGGATGAGGGTAAAATAGCCGGTTCAGACTCCTAAAATCTCAGAAGGAAGCTGGTGGATGTTTTGGACTCCTCAGATGTCAGATCTGAGAATGGGAAATAGGAAAATAGCCGTTACTCAGACCACCATGTCGGTGGACGAAGGTAAACTCATTGCCTATTTCCCTCGATGGAAGAAGAGAAGATAAACTCATTGCCTATTTCCCTTGATGGAAGAAGAGAGCATAATTTCTTTTTACTTGGAAAAAATCAATATAGTTTTCCACTCTCATATCGATGTCATGTAAACTCCAGATGTTTGCAAATTTACATCGATAATAAAGATGTTTTTACACTATTTCCAAACGCATGAAAATGTGGACTGAAATGCAATAACGCACTGAACAAGGGACCGGTTCTCCTCCCAAATCCCAACTAATAAAAATGGGTAATCGAATGGCAATTAGTCAGATCAGAGCTAAGAAAAATAACAGGTTTAGAGAAGTGATAAGAACGACAAATAGATCTAAGATGAGCATTTACATGGTAATCAACCGACTCACCAACTCGTCGTCCAGTCAAAACGGGTAGTCCAACCAACAAATTACTCATTTTTGGATTAGGTAAGCTAGGCCTGAATATTGAGGAGGCCTAATAGTCTAGTACTAATTCCCCTCCAACCTGTAAGTGGATTAGTGGAGTGGAAGATATTAATAAAATAAACTAATAATACCCTGCAAGCTGCAACCTGAACACCAAACTAGCAAGCATTAGCCAAAAATAATCTGTTTTTCTAGAAGAATATATACTTGGGTCTTTGCTTTGGAATGCCGTGTCTTGTTACGCAAACTAATTACCGACTAAACAATAAATACATACAGTTGAGTGTGCTATTTGGCTTTTGTTTTTTTCCTTTACTCTCTCTGTTCCTTCATTTCTAGGGATGACCGCAATACATGCAACCCACTTAACATAAATAAAACAACAAGAATTGATTCGTATTTATAACACGCATCGATCACTTTTCTTACTCATGATAATACATTGGCAAACATCCCTTTAATGTCTCTATATCATGGTAAAAATCTTTTTTTCAAATATATTATTTTGATTAGTTAAGCATTGTCATAACATCTACTAAAACCAAAGGTAAGTATCGCCATTATATAATAACTATAAAGATTAAGATATTTTTTGTTTGATTTGTTCTAGTTTTGATTCTTTTGAAGTTGGATAAATTTCGATGATATTTTTGCATTCTTTGCACTATTTCCCAATGAATCTAAGTCAATAATGGAAACTAATAACAGTTTCACGAATTTTAGATTATTCTTGTCATCTTAAATAATTTTCTGTTTCGAAGAAAAGTTATCAATCTACTTGTGCAAAAAATATCAACTTCTTCCTAGCTCAATAATATTATATATATATATATATATATATACATAATAGTAGAATTAGTAGTGAAAAAAGTATTATTAATTATAATATAAAATATTTGTCCATACTTCAGGTGTTATATAGGGCCAAGCTCAGGCTCAAGATATAGGCCTAATAGTTAGGTTCGAATTTGGACTTGAGCCTGGTCATTTTCTGTTTAAAAGAGACAAAACTCAACCCGACCCATAAACACGTCTACTTACAAATAATAATATGCATTTATCAATTCAAAATATTTTTTGGACATTTTAAGTTGAAAAATCTCTATCTCATAAATTTATATTAATCCGTCCAAAATACAATGGCAATACAACGCCACTATATTGAATTTTTTTGTATGGTGGTCTTAATGTGAAAGGGAAGTACTTTGCTTTCTACAATAAATATAGGAATTGGATTAAGGACATGGTTTCTTTTATTTCAGAACTGTTAGTATGTAAATAAAGAATTGAAAAAAAAAATTGGTTGCATTTGGACAAGCTTCACGATTTGTGATTTTAAACTCCAAAAGCATAAAGCCCCATTTTTTAGGCTTAAAACTTAAAAGTGTTTTGGGCCCTTTGGCTTGAGATTATTATATTTTTAAAAGCAATTCATGCCAAACTCCCCAATTCACTTTTTGGTTCATCTTTGTTTTCCAGAGTCCAAAAGCTCAAAACTATCCCGACTAGCCTTAATTTTGTTTGTAGGTTTGTAAATAGGAAAACAATTTAAAAAAAAAAAAAAAAGCACTAAAGGTTGAGTAATTTTGTCATTAGATAGTTTAAGTGGATTGTTTTTAATCTTTTTTCATAAAGAATAATGGAGAAACAACAGAAAGTTGGGGAAAGATTTAAGGTATCCCATGAAATTATTTAAATTTTTTTCTCTTCTTTTCGTTGGAATTAACAAGTGAATAACATATAAAGAGAACCCTACATTAGAAAAGAACGAAAGATGCAAAATACTTATATACAAGTGTGGCCCGTAATCTATGTGTAAATTCTACACAAACAACTTAATTGAACAACTACCAAACACTATCTTATCAGTATAAACTGTGTAATCAAAAGCGAGGTACTAATGTAATTCGTAGTTATAGTAAGGGTACTTTTATATTGCACTGTCAAACTTGTTTCGTTTTCTTAAAAATGCGTCTACACTCTGTACTTCTGCTTATTTGGAGACACGTGCATCCTATTTATTCCGTATACATGTATCACTTCGCATTGTTCATCTGATAAACCCTACGTTTCGACCCGTATTTTTATTTTCATCTCGCGAGACGCTGGTCGTCACCGTCACCTGACGCTGTAAACGGATCGAATGGAATTCGAATTATAATCGGATACTAAATATATAAAATTATAACTAAATATAATTAAAATGATATTTATTATTAAAAAAATGATTAAAAATAATTTAATATTATATTTTATGAATAAAATAAATTTAAAATATTCTAATCGGAATATATTGGATAGGATACGGGTGATCAATATTTGGTCCAATTATAAACGGATCGAATTTTCGAATCCGAATTCGAACACTCGGTACCGTTTGCAGCCATATCGCCACCAACCTTTTTTCCCTGTTGCATGCATATATATAAATATATAAAATTCCCAATCTTTGGATTTTCTCTCCAATATTTCTCTGTTTGCCTATATAAATCTTTCACGGAATCTGTTACCGGTCTCTTGCAAAGCGATTGTCTGGTCTTCTCTCGATCAGACCTGCTTTTGAAGAAGGAAAATGTGCGGCGGAGCTATAATATCTGATTTCATTCCCACGAATCGCTCCCGGCGACTCACAGCTGATTACCTGTGGCCTGACCTGAAACAAAATTCTGCAAATTACTACTCCAAACCCTTGCGTCCGGCAGTCGTCGACGTCGATGACGACTTTGAGGCTGACTTTCAGGAGTTCAAGGACGAGATTGATGAGGAGGAGGGGGAGGATGTTAAGCCCTTCACTTTGGCTTCAAAATCTGGGTTCTCCCGAGGTATGCTAGACTCATTCTCTCTCTCTCTCTCTCTCTGGTCAGTTTAGGGTTTCTGATTTTATCTTCCGTCTATGATGTTTCTATTTTATAATCTTTTACTTGCATATTTTTCTGGACGAGGTTCCAAAATGGGATTTTTCCCAGATCTCTTGTTTATACACATCATGTAATAGCTATTGCTTGATTTCCCTTTTTTCCTTTTCCCATTGATCTTCTTATTTCAGGGTCGACACTTTGTATGCTTAGGCCTTTTTATTTCACCTAAAGGTTGGGATTTTTCAGCTATATGTCGTTGGCCAATTTTGATTTCGTACGACTGCTTAAATCTTCACCTTTCATCAAGTGCTTTCAGACCTTCATCTCTTCCCGGGGTTTATTTTCGTTAGAGAGAGAGAGAGAGTTTTTATTTGACGTTTCCAAAACTTTTCAATCTAGGACCGCCTTCCTGTATAACAATCTAGAGGCCTTTTTAGTTTTCCCCTCCTTTTGGTTTTATTGTAAACTAACTTCATTTTCGATTTTTTGTTTTTCTTTTTACAATAAAACGCATGATTGTGCTAATCTTTGTTTGCTAATTATTTTTATGATAATATATATATATATATTATATTCTTGCCCCTGTTTCTTTGGCGGGTTAGAAAGAAATTGAATAAGCAATTAAAGTTAACCATGCCATCGATGGCGATTGAAACTCTTTCGTCGTCATCGGTGGAAATGAATTTGACCAGCAAAAGAAAAATATTATAAGTTAACCATGCCAAGATACTCGTCTATACGGTTTTCATGTTAAATCAAATTCATCTCTCAATAAGGATGTTGTAGAAAATAAGGATCGTTAATTGTTAACTAAACTAAATTTCCCGTCTCCTCATGGTCAATTGGTCATGGTGGATATCTGTTGCGGTAAAATGAGATGATTTCTAATCCTTCGCCTCCTTTTTCCAATGTTTGTAAGTGCTCTTTGGCTTAAAGCTATGTTTTTTTTTCCTTTTTCATAGCTTTATCCATCGTATTGTGCTTCTGTTTTAACGTTGTTATTTCTTTTATAATCGCAGGAGGTTCCACTACTTTGAAACCGGTACAATTCAGTGGACCTGCTGAGAAATCTGCAAAAAGAAAGAGGAAGAACCAGTATAGGGGAATCCGACAGAGACCTTGGGGCAAATGGGCAGCTGAGATCAGAGACCCTAGAAAGGGAGTCCGGGTCTGGCTTGGGACATTCAACACTGCTGAAGAAGCTGCTAGAGCTTATGATGCTGAAGCTAGGAGGATCCGAGGCAAGAAGGCCAAGGTGAATTTCCCTGAAGAGGCTCACCCTACTGCTCCAAAGCGCACTGCTAACCCAAGCATAGAGAAGCCACTTCCTAGGCCTAATTTGGTCTCTGTGAAGCAGAGTTTCAGTTTTATGAACAATGCAGATTCAGACTTTTACGATAATTCAGGGTTTATGGAAGAGAAGGCACCAATTAAAGTGTCTGAATACTTGAATTCTATCCCCATTGTGGAGGACCAAATCAGTTTCAAATCGTTTTCCCCTTCTGATGGTACCACCATGTGCTTTAATTCAGACCAAGGAAGTAACTCTTTTGATTGCTCTGACTTCGGTTGGGGAGAATGCGAGCCCAAGACACCTGAAATTTCATCAGTTCTTTCCTCGACAATGGAAAGTGATGGTTCTGAATTTGTTGAAGATGCTAATCCAAAGAAAAAACTGAAGACCAAATCCGAGGAAGCAGTGCCTAACGAGGGAAATGCTCCTAAGAACTTGTCTGAAGAACTGCCAGCGTTTGAGTTTCAAATCCCATATCTTGAGGGCAGTTGGGATGCATCAGTGGATAGCTTCCTTAGCAGTGAGACAACTCAGGATTGTGGAAGTTCGATGGATCTCTGGAGCTTTGATGACCTCCTCCCACCAATTATGGGAAATGTCTTCTGAAGGATCTGTCTTTGCGGAATGGCTTTAATGTAAATAAGACATGTTAGTAAAATTCATCACTTGTAGCTCCTTTATTCTTCTGGTATGATTTAGTTATGGCGTTATTTTTATATGTTACTTCATTTAAAGGTTTGATCTTGAAAACGTAGGGGGTGTTCGGCTCTCTGCCAATAAATTTGGTTTTAAAAAACAATTGCCATTTCATCGATGAAATCATGCTTTTGTTGAAGCAGCGGTCATTTTGGGTTTTGAAAAACAAACCATTCACATTGGCCAACACTCAATTTGTTTTCGAAAGATATACATTTCATCATCCTGCATTTTCTTTCTCAGGACTGGTGTTTGGAGATGGAGTGCAGACAAGACATGGAGAGCAAAACAGTTGGAACCTACTTCTGAGACCATGAATGCAGCGTCTGCAGGCAGCTTTGGGTTCATGGTAAGTAGGTTTTAGCTTTAGAATTTTAAGCGTAATTTGGTGTATTGTTCTTTTTTTTTCCCTCCTTTTAGGGTACCTTGGATTTGGAAGACATTTGCTTTTCGGACTTAAGTCTGTATTGATGGTCATGTGATGAATATACTAAAGCTGTTCAATACCAGCTTGATCTCCCTTAGTACTTGGATTAAATAATTTAGGGGGTGTTGGCTTCACCAATACGTACTCTTCTGTCTTTCGATTTTAGTTTTGGAAAGCAAAAGCTTTCATCTTCATGTTGGCAGATACCACCGTAATTAATAAATAGGATTCTGTATGAATGATAACGCTGTGCATGGACAGTGGGCACGGTCCTAAACCTTTGTTTGCCAGGATTTGCTTCTATATTTGTTTCCGATTGGCTTTTGGAAAGGTGAAATTCGGGCGGCCGATTCCATGTGTGTTGGCCATTGGCTACCCTTTCGCCTTTAGTGAGATTGTGGGATGTTTTACTGTGTTAATGTTCTAAGATGTGTCATGTGGAGATCGACAAGCGATAAGAATTCTTTATACCATCAAAGCAATTATCATTTATGGTTAGAGGATTACACGTGTTTTCCCTTTTATATACACGTGATAGATACGGTCGATATAGATCGAATAAATTCTTACGAATCTTACAACTACCTGAATCTAATATTTGTATAAGGTATAAATATGTAAGAAAATGTTTTTAGATATCGTACAGTTTACTAGTAATACATAAAACAATTGTTTGAGCTTATAATCTATAAAAAAGTTCATTATAAGGTCCAAAGTCTCGATATTTATCTTTATACTGTTTTACTGTCATTTTTATTTTACCAAGAATAAAGTTTTAAGTCATTATATATATATATATATATATATAAAATTGGGTCACCTGATTCAACACCGATCCATACCATTCCCAAACCGGACCCGGCCAATTGACAGCTCTAAGTAGTATTCCTCAAAGATTAAAAAACAGTATAGTAGTTAAAAGCCAACGTGTGAGCAGGCACACAGCTAGCCCTCCACTCTCCAGTTTGGGTTTGGCAAGAAGGAGGATGGGCGATAGCAGCACTGCGCAATAGAGCTGCGTGACGTTAAAATGAGCACTCTAGTCTTGTAAGCCATATTTTGTATCATTCCAATAAAATAAAGCTTTTCATGTTGTTTCGTTTGGCTTTGTGAAGTAGATCACATTCAAACAGCATACAATGATAAGCAATGTTCGGTGAAATTTTCAGAAAACCCAAATTCGTTGTGCTTCAGGCTTACCAAAAGAAGGATTTTCAGTTGACCACTGGTTTTTTAACTAAATTAACCGGTTCAGTTAATCAGATTTTTTTTTGGTTCGGTTCTTTGATTTTTAATAGGTACCCTACCTGTGATTTACTTTCTTTTTTGCTTGCCTGATACCTACCTGTACATCAATACAATGTGTTTATTAATATGTACAATTTTATTTTGGTATAAAAATGACTGTCAAATAAGCAAAAATAATATAGATTTGCTGTCGTATGAGTTTTTGTTTTGAAAAACAACTATACTTACTGATTGACGCAAAAGAGGGAGTGATTTTTTTTTTTTTACGCCAAAAAAGGCAATTCATTCAAAAATTAGTTCAGTGTACAATCCTAGAGAAACGAAGTAAGAAATCAAGAACTGTGGATCAGGTAAAAAAGATGATATGTTAAGAGCTTTGGCCAAGGTGTATGCAACTTGGTTTCCTGAACGCTTGGTGAATCTCACTGAACTGTAGGATGCTATCTAAGAGAACCCTGCAATCAGCAATGTTCTGTTTGTTGCACTACGGAGTGATATACTGATTATACTGATAAGGAACAAGTAAAAAGTTGGAACTTTCGATTAAGCTGACAGAGACAGGTCATACATAAAACCAAAAGCATTGTTCTTTGAACAGAGATGAATAATTTGTTTGCCTTCTACAAATCACAATCCTTCAACGCAGTCGTCCTCACTTGCCACACAAAAAAGTGGAGTTGATAATTTATTGAGGTGTTCACAAATTAGCATTTTTCTGCCTATTTGCAGCGAGTACATGAGACCAGAACGGGAGAGTTCGGCTTCAGTCAGGGCACAAACAGAGGACGCGCAACGCGTTTTTTCTACCGCATAACTGCTGAAAGCGTGCGAAGCCTATAAACAGTGTTGATAGTAAGTTCTGTTAGAATTCATTAAAAAAAACTGCTAATTGCCGTCTCGCACCGAACCGTATTCCCTCCCGTTCTCTCCCTCTCCAACCAGTGACAACCACAATTATCACCGGCAATTGTTAACACCGGTGACCGGAGGAAAAACTCAGGTGTTTTTATCAGTTTTTCTTCCCCAAAACATTGCATCAGGTATTGCATTATTCTTTATTTTTGAACAAACGGAAGGAAATGCAATACCTGATTATCGCCAGTCGCCGTTCGTCGTTTGCCATTCGCCGCAGAGAGAAGATGAAACTACGATTTAGGTTTTGGGGAAACAAAAGTTAAGAATAATGCAATACCTGATGCAATGTTTTGGGGAAGAAAAACTTAAAAAAAAAAAAAACAACACCTGAGTTTTTCCTCCGGTAGCCGGTGTTAACAATCGTCAGTGATAATTGGGTTCAGTGCAAGGAGGCAGCGAACAGTTTTTTTGAATGAATTTTAACGGAGCTTACATATGGCTTAGTGTGACTGGGGGGTACACCAGGAGCCTTGCCAAAATGCTTCACTGCTTCTCTTGTATTCTTGGGGCCTCTCAGAATAACCTGTTATCATATTCAATATTATTTCGTTTCATTAAAAAACAACACTTGTGTACGTTTTTAAATCAACTGTCGATTATTTTTTCTTTTATAAAAAAGGGTTCTGGTGCAGGTAATTGGTTGGCTCCAATTGAAGCTGCCGATATTAAGGATGAGGAGAAGCCAGGTTAACCACTTCATTAGCAGACATACTCTAAAGTTAGGCAACTAAAAACCAGTGTTACATGGATACCCAGCAACACACAGAAACAAGGACTACTCAAAGACATCTATAGAACAATACAGATTATTAAAACAGTCTACATTTTGTTAAATTTTAACATTACAATTACAAACCTATAAGAAAGGTATAAAAGATATTCTTTGTTGCTTTGGCATTTTATAGGAAAAATGGCACTCGTTGTGTACATTATCTGTTCATATCAGTGCAACCAAACACAGCCTAAGTAGAAAAAGAAAAATGTCTTATAGAAAGAGTCATTCAAGAATCCACCAAGTGCTCAAGTCCAACATATACATTTCATTCATTTGTAAGAGTCCATGTTAACTATACTAGAAACTAACCCCCTGATCCAATTGAGCAGCCCCTCCCCTTGTTCCACCAACTTTTAATCTAGCCAAGCTCCTGCCAAGCCAGATGGGAAAGGAAGAAGAATTAACAAACACTCCAACAATATATTGAAAGTATGCATGAACTCTATGTTATCAACCAGAGTGGGAGCTTTTTACCTTTCCTATGTCATTAACAAACAACATCCTACAATTTCTGAAAATTTGGGCGACATCTTTACCTTTCCTTTCATGAAGCCTATCAACCTAGACAATGACAGTGGCGATTTGTTCACCCTGCTCCTAAACAACCTCTTCAATATAACAGCACTGAATTTGCTGCCGGTCCTCCTGACCAAAAACCTATAGAGCTGGATAACAAGAGTGAGATAAGAAAATATGATATTCATCTTCATCTTCTAAGTTGGAAAAAGGGGGAAAATGATTATCAAATCAGCAGAAACTTCAATATTCTCAGAAAAGAATTCAGGAACTTCCACATTCGATTCCAAGCATATACAGGAAAACCAAAAGAACGACTTCAATAGTTGATAGTAATAAGGAGTCCAAAGTTATCAAACGTGACAATGAAATAACTCAGAAAATCAAAACCAAGAGAAGCAAAGAACAGTGGAAAATACTAGAATATATGAACACGTCAAGCGCATCATGTTACAACTAAAATTTGTACATAAATCATCGAAAAAAAAAAGAAGGAAATATCAGTGTAAGTAAAATAGATCTTTTCAGCGCGGGAATGGCATTCTAAATTCCGAATTCCGGAACTTAGGAAGTTGGAAGAAAGGTTACTAAGTTGTTTTTTTCCCCTGAGGGCTCATGATAAAAAGCGTAAGGACGCTGACCATTAGAATTTAGATTGAGAGGTGAACACAGACTCCTACAGGACAGCTGAACAAAACAGGATCCAAAACAGAAACAATAAACCAAATAGGAATTGCCATCAAAGTAATAGAGTAGAGGTATCATAAATTGGGAGGCAAAACTAACCTTCACTATTGGTTCGAACGGTCCGACCATTCAACCTAAATGGCTTGCCTGTTCTGACAAAAAAATAAAAAAATTAGAAAATGGTCAAAACCGTTCGAACGATTAACTAACCGGTTCAGCGGTTTACTGACCAAAATCAACGATTTTGAGAAAAAAAAAACAATTTTGAGAAAAAAACGGAACCGATCAAATCCCAGTTTTTCCAGACCGACCATTCGATCCGATCCGATTTTGAAAACCATGCTCTCTATCTCTGTTAGAGGCTATGGCCTATGCCTAGCTTATAGGGTGGGCATACACTAATTTGTATTTGTATGAAGCCTGATAGTGTTATATATATATATATATATATATATATATATATATATATATATATATATATATATATGTGTGTGTACCAAGTCTAATTTGAATTATGTATATGCTAAAATCTAAAATAAAGGGCATGTTTGGTAATGTAGAATCAGGAAAGCAGGTGATTGTGTACAAACTAAGTCTAGCTGAAGCTGAATGCCTGAACCCCTTCTTTGTGCAAATTCCATCCAGTCCACCCGTAATTAATAAAATTTATTAAGCCATAACAAAAACGTGCCTGCTTGGATGGTAAAGACTGAAGAGTGAAGACAGAAAGGCCATCATATAACAAAAACGTACCGCATAGAAATAAACTCCTTCTTCCATGTTTTTGAATCGTCGTTGATTTGGACGATCGGATCGTTTGGTCCAGAAATCGTTGAGGCAATTGGTTTCATTTACCCTAAATTCGGTCTTTAGTCAAAAACCGTTGAATCGATCAATGATTCGTTGGTCTATGCGGTCGAACCATTGGCCTGTTTAATGGTTTTTGACTGTTTTTTATTTTTAATTATTTTTTTATTTTTAAAATTTTTACTATCAGACAATTGAACCGTCAACCTAGAAACCAATGGCCAGAACGGTTCCATTTCCAAGTCATTTTTTAAAGGAATTTTTAAAACCATGCCTTCTTGTGGATGCAAGCTG